AGCTCAAAGTTCGAAAGTCGGCCACACGATGCGACGAACCGTCCAGCCTCCAACGTTGGAAGGTGTTCGTAGCATCGTGTGGCGCCGGCATTAGACGAGTATGTATGAGCGGTACTGTCGTTACAAGAATTTCACAAACACCAAAGAAACGGTGCAATAATTACAAGTACCGTCGTTCGGGGTGAAGCCGGACGATTCTTTCAGTTTTTTCTTGGTGCACTAGCAAAGTTTTCTTTATTGTAGTTCTTAAAATTAAAACCGATTTTGAATTATTTAAGACGAAAACCAATATTTTCTAATAAAATTGCCATGGGTTTACTAATAATAGAGCACATCAGAAAAATAACTTCTTTGCATTTTTTATTTTTAGTATTCTTTTGTGTGCAAGTCTCTTTTATAGTTTTCAAATTCCAAGAAAAAATACAATTCATAAAATCCTCACCCTGTGTTCCACGGCGAATGTTTCCAATGAAAATTTATACTACTAATGACTGTAGAAACTTAACTGACGGTAATATTACGATTGGGTACTTTTTACGCGGTGGATCAAATGATCTTGACGACAACATTAAGCAATAACGGTCTGTCCGAGTTCGGCACCACAGTCTTCTTCTTCTATTTCACCCCGAATGACTGGTAAATAAAATTTTTCAACTTGTCATTTTGAAGTCCCATAATGGAAATCCAGATCGACAAAATAATTACACTATGATGGGAGCTTAAGGGGCTCCAGTTATGGTTTTGGGAGGTCTTTCCGTCGTAGGAATATCTCGGCAGAAAAGTCGACACTACCGCGTTGATAGAAAAAACTACGTTCGTGGGAAACTAATAACCGTATATCGTTAAAAGGGTTTAACATAGGGGAAAGAAAGGGTGCGTGTGGCCCTCGTGGTACTCGCGTTGACTAAATGATTATCTTTAAATGCCCTTCTGTCAGTCCGGTGGCTCTTCTTGACATGGCAGCCCTGCGGTGTTGCCAGGTGCTCGAAATATAGTACCGTGTTACAACATGAAGTACTAGCCGTATTTTCAGCTATTTATGCGTTCTGTGATTGTTGACCAACAATTTGGCAACACTCTGTATATGATTTTGGCAATTTGTTCGGCAAACCTTAGAGTGAATAACCTCGATATCTTTGTTCTAGTTCCATCGCTGTTGCTAAAGGGTTACAACAATGAGCCTTTATGCATGCAAAAAAATAAGTCACCTCTTGATTTGTTGATAGATTTTCTTAGATCTTGAAATATTTAGACTGTCTTTCTATTCTTCTAACTTTCTCAAGTAAGATCTACTTATATTTATTATGAGTTATTAGTCTAATATTATTAGTCTAATAGTTATTATAGTTGGCGTTTTATGTACGCAATTGGCTGCAAAGTATGTTTATGCTCGTTTGAATCAATCATCACATATTTATATAATGTTTACAGAGAAAATGCAATGTACTTGGGCGAAAGAATAAATCTAAGTATTTTCTGTTAATAACTTGTTTACATAGTAATATGTGGTGTAAATACACTCACATTAGCTGCTCGTCATCTAACGTCTAAATTTAATACC